ACATATCGTTTTGCATTGTGGCCAAAAAGTTCAATTTGGGTTTCATCTGACCAGAGCACCTTCTTCCACATGTTTGGTGTGTCTCCCAGGTGGCTTGTGGCAAACTTTAAACAAGACTTTTTATGGATATCTTTGAGAAATGGCTTTCTTCTTGCCACTCCTCCATAAAGGCCAGATTTGTGCAGTGCACGACTGATTGTTGTCCTATGGACAGACTCTCCCACCTCAGCTGTAGTTGTCTGCAGTTCATCCAGAGTGATCATGGGCCTCTTGGCTGCATCTCTGATCAGTCTTCTCCTTGTTTGAGATGAAAGTTTGGAGGGACGGCCGGGTCTTGGTAGATTTGCAGTGGTCTGATACTCCTTCCATTTCTATATAATTGCTTGCACAGTGCTCCTTGAGATGTTTAAAGCTTGGGAAATCTTTTTGTATCCAAATCCAGCTTTAAACTTCTCCACAACAGTATCTCGGACCTACCTGGTGTGTTTCTTTGTCTTCATGGTTCTCTCTGCGCTTTAAACAGAACCCTGAGACTATCAAAGAGCAGGTGCATTTATACGGAGACTTGATTACAGACAGGTGCATACTGCATTCTATTTATCATCATCAGTCATTTAGGACAACATTGGATCATTCAAAGATCCTCACTGAACTTTTGGAGTGTGTTTGCTGCACTGAAAGTAAAGGGGCCGTATAATATTGCACGCCCCACTTTTCAGTTGTTTATTTGTTAAAAAAGTTTAAATCATCCAATCAATTTAATTCCACTTCACGATTGTGTCCCACTTAAAATTAAAATTTTATATCTTTATGTTTGAAGCCTGAAATGTGGCGAAATGTTGAAAGGTTCAAGGGGGCCGAATACTTTCGCAAGGCACTGTACATGTTCCGTCGGCACAAAGCTCTCACTGAAATTTATTTACTTGTGTAAAAGTTCAATATAGTTTTCCGATGACATCGCGCACTACCCACTATTCCGCAGTCCGCCATCTTGCAAGTTAAGCTGCCAATAGTTGTAGGTAAACAGCGTCGTTTGGGGGTGCAGTAACGGTGCAGATTGTGGGGACATTCCGAAGGTTATTACGAGCCAGGGGAGCGACACAGAGCGACTCTCAACGGATAGAAGAACCCTTTAGTTGGCGAGGATCAACCGAGAGGAATTCAACCCTAACCCCGAAAAACGGCACTATAAGGTCTGTTCTGACCATTTCAACAGGTAAGAGCAAGCTAAATCTGTGCATGTGTGGTTTCAGAGCTGCAATTTGACTGTGATACCATGTACAGTGGGGCAAAAAAGTATTTAGTCAGCCACCGATTGTGCAAGTTCTCCTACTTAAAATAATGACAGAGGTCTGTAATTTTCATCATAGGTACACTTCAACTGTGAGAGACAGAATGTGAAAAAAAAATCCAGGAATTCACATTGTAGGATGTTTTAAGAATATTATATATTTTAGAGTATTTGGTCACCTCAAACAAGGAAGAGCTCTGGCTCTCACAGACCTGTCACTTCTTCTTTAAAAAGCTCTTCTGTCCTCCATTGTTACCTGTATTAATGGCACCTGTTTGAACTTGTTATCTGTATAAAAGACACCTGTCCACAGCCTCAAACAGTCAGAGCCATAGAGAGATCTACTTAACTTAATGGAGAATCGAGATGTCGCTGCCTTCTCTGCTAATCCGAGTTCCCTTCGCCCTCCGGCGTCGGACGAGATAGGTAAGCGATGCACGCTCCAGTGCCCCGCTCCCCAGGGGGAGAGTGAGAGGCCGCGATTCAGGCTCCAGTGCCTCCAAATCCTCCTCCCAACGCAGCCCTCTCAGACAGAGACAGAGAGGGCTCGGAGCAGGGACAGGAGAGGTCCGAACTCACACGGTGCCCACGTATGAACCCGGTGTTCACTACGCCACACGTGACAGACCCACACCCCAGGGGAGCCAAGAGGCTCGCCCTGGGGTTTGGCCCGTATGGTACGGTCCAAGACTGGTCTGGGTCCAGCGGAGTCTGACGCGGAGGACGCGGTGGGGCTTACGTTGCTCCCCGCGCCCTCCATGGAACCAGGCAACAGACCGCCTTCTCCCTCCAAGCGAGAGAAGAGGTCTATGCCCGCACTGGAGGAGTGCGATGCCAGATGTCAGAGCAGGTTCCGCTGGTTCCCGTTCCTGAAGGGCATGGCGGTGTACGACCTTTGGCCTCTCCCGGACGAGCCTGGGGCTCTGGTCCAAGGAGGGGGGACGCTTCACTCGTGCCCGGTACTGGGCCACAGACTCTGGGTCTGGAGGCTGAGAGGCGGACTCTCGTAGGTCTGGGTTTCCCTCAGTCAGTAGTGGAGACCATTTAGGGCGCGAGAGCCCCTTCATCTGTCAGGGCCTATGGCTGTAGGTGGAGGGTTTTCAATGGCTGGTGCGCGGTGTGTTCTTGGGACCACATGTCCTGCCTTCTGGAAGGGCCTCCCTTCGAGCCTGTGGCCCAGGCCAGCCCCGAGTGTGTGGCTCTCAATACCGCCCTCTTGCTGGCTCTCAACCAAGAGGGCAGGTGAGCTATGCGCACTCTCCGTTCGCCCGGAATGCCCGACATTCAGTGCTGAGGATGGTGTGGTTGAGCTTGGCCGAACCCTGCCTTTCTGCCTGAGGTTGTTACTTCGGCTTTTAGGTCAAGGGTCATCAGGGTCCGACCCTTTCACCCGCCGCCTCATGCCTCCAAGGAAGACGAGCGGCAGCATCTGTTGTGCCCAGTCAGGATGCTGAGATCCTACCTGGCAGTTACAGCCTCTTCAGACGGTCGGATCAGCTGTTTGTATGCATGGGCCCTAAGAACAGAGGCGCGCCATTGACACCCCAGAGGCTGTCGCACTGGGTGTCTCGGGTAATTCACTTGGCTTACCAGGCCCAGGAATTGGTCCCTCGGTAGGGTTCAAGGCGCACTCCACACGAGGAGTCCCAGCCTCCACAGCTCTGCTCTGGGGGGCCTCGGTGGAGGACGTCTGCCAAGCCGTGTCTTGGGTTTCGTCGCCGTTGCTCTGTCATATTTAGTGGACGTGGCAGAACGGTCGGTTGCCAATTCCGTTCTGAACGCGGGGGTCTGACTCACCGCGGGACGTTCGGAGGGAGCGGTTACTCTAGTCCGGCCTTCAGGAGTGCTGGATGGAGGCGTCCTGGGGTTGTGACCCGCTCTTCCCGTAACCGGTTACCATACTTCAGGAGCTCTTGGTAGAGGCGTCCTGGGTATGTTTCTTCTTCTCATACTTCAGGAGCTCTTGGTAGAGGCGTCCTGGGTATGTTTATTCTTCTCATACTTCAGGAGCTCTTGGTAGAGGCGTCCTGGGTATGTTTCTTCTTCTCATACTTCAGGAGCTCTTGGTAGAGGCGTCCTGGGTATGTTTTCTTGCTTACTCCTACGGGAGTCCTGTCAGAGTATGGGCGTCCTTGATAGGAGTGGCCCTTGCTCTGTTCTTGCTCCTCAGGAGCTTGTCAGTGTTACTCAGGCGTCCTTGGTAGGAGCGGCCTCGTACACTGCTCTTTTTCCTTCCTGCCCCGGGTCCATGCGCCTTGATAGTGCGGCGGGAACTCGGGCAGGGCTCCAATCACTGTACGCTGGCCTGATGGGAGTACATCTCTCTACAGCTTCGCGTGGTACCCACAGCGAATTAAGTGGCTGGAGCACCATGAAGTAGAATTGGTAGTTACCTAGTGTAACTTAAGTTCTATGAATGGTGCGAAGCCACTTAGCTACGGGCCCATCAGTCCAGCCTGGCTTTGGCAGAGTTCAAAGTGGCAGGTGCGGGCTGTAGAGGGCTATTTATAGATGGGACTGACACGTGATTGGAGCGTTAATTTCTCTCTGGCGCGAAGCTCGGGCTTCTTGAGTATACCCACAGCGAACTAAGTGGCTTCGCACCATTCGTAGAACTTAAGTTACACTAGGTAACTACCAATTACGCTGTTGTGTGTATATTTTTTTGAGAATCCCTTCCCACAAGTGAGGAAATTACCAACGAGCAATGAGTGACCGGAGTATTAACTTTCCCCTCATCTGAACCTGGTCAAGAGACATACATACTTTGGACTTTGTAAATTATTTATTTTGCACTTAAATATCCCTGTGACTGTTTCAAAATTTTGTTTCATTTATGTTTCTGTACACATACAGAAAAGGGGTTCAAAAGCAAAAGTTACTATTTTCTACCATATACTTTTACTTCTATTTACATTACATACATTATACATACACTCAACTCCGGCTTTATCACTGAATTGCGAGATCTACTCACTTCCCTCTGTGCTACTTCCCATAATACACTCATTCTGGGAGATTTCAACATCCACATTAAATCTACAAATAATCGTCTTGCTGCAGAATTTCTCGAACTCTTGGACTATTTACATCTATCACAACATGTCTCAGAACCCACCCACACAAAAGGCCATATTCTTGACCTTGTTATAACAGACATCGTCCCCATCTCCAACCTGCAAGTTTATGCAGTTTAATTTCCATGGTACTGCCCTTAGCCGAAACACAAATTAAAACAAAGCGCCAAATCAGTTTCAGAAATTTAAAGGCAATTGACTCCACCCGCATTAACCAGGACATTCATAAAATCTCTCTAGTCACACAATTCACTTCTGTAAATGAAACTGTCACTCATTACAACTCCAGCCTCCGCATTATCCTTGATTCTCATGCACCAGTTAAAACCAGAACAGTCACATTTTCCAGAACAGCCCCATGGTACACACCTGAACTCCACAATATGAAGACAGCTGGCCGAGCCCTCGAGCGGCGCTACACCTCCACTGGCTTACTAGTCCACAAACAGGCATACCGTGAACACCAAAAAACATATACCAGAGCACTCACCACTGCAAGATCCTGCTATTTTTCACAAAAAATCTCAGATAGCACTGGCAATTCAAAACGATTATTTTCTGAAATAAACACTCTGGTCAAACCTCACACACACACACTGTCTGACACCAGTACGGACCATTGCAATAGGTTCATGGACTACTTCACCAACAAGGTAATGTCAATCCGGTCTGCCCTTCCTTCCACTACCCCATTTCCAACTGACATAATCTTTCCTAAGCCGCCCAACACCTTTACCTCCTTCTTGGATATCTCCCAGTCTGAAGTGGAGAGGATCATAAGCAGCATGAAGCCCTCCACCTGTCTGCTGGATCCTCTCCCCACAACACTTCTCAAATCAAACTTTTCCGCCATTAGCCCATTAATAACAGAAATCATTAACCAGTCACTAAAATCCGGTCAGGTCCCCCCAGCTCTCAAAAATGCAGTAATCCGCCCCTCACCTGAAAAAACCTTCACTTGACCCCAACATCCTAGCCCACTACAGACCAGTCTCAAACCTCCCATTCCTCTCCAAAGTCCTCGAAAAAGCAGTAGCAGCCCAACTCCACAATCACTTACGCTCCCATAACCTATATGAGAAATTTCAATCTGGTTTCCGCTCAGCCCACAGTACAGAGACAGCCTTGGTCCGCGTCATGAATGACCTACTCATGACTGCGGACCGGGGCTCACCCTCTCTCCTCCTCCTCCTCGATCTGTCAGCAGCTTTTGATACCGTGGACCACACCATTCTCCTCCATAGACTACAATCAGTAATTGGACTTTCACAGACAACACTCAAATGGTTTCATTCATATCTCACTGACAGAACAGAATATGTGTCCCTAGGCCAGTACAAATCGTCAACCCATTCAGTTACCTGTGGGGTACCGCAAGGCTCAGTCCTCGGGCCAACCCTTTTTACAATATACATGCTCCCCCTTGGTCAAATCATAAACAGACACAACATTTCTTTCCACTGCTACGCCGATGATACACAGTTATACCTGAAAATGGACTCCACTTCACCCACAGGTTTTACGTCAGCCCTTCAGCTTTGTCTGGAGGAGATAAAGGCATGGATGGACAACAATTCTCTTCAACTTAACAGTGGTAAAACTGATGCAATCCTCTTTGGCACCCCCCACCAAACCCAGTCCTCCCCTCTCAGCAGTGTTTCAATTTTTGGCCATAACATCCCCCTGTCCACATCTGTTAATAACCTTGGAGTCAGGCTCGACTCTAATTTTACATTTGATACCCACATCCGCCACCTCTGTAAAGTCTCCTTCCTTCACCTCAAAAACATTGCCAGACTCCGCTCCTCCCTCTCACAACCGGACGCTGAGAAGCTGATCCATGCCTTTGTCTCCTCCAGGTTGGATTACTGCAATGCCCTCCTCGTCGGGACCTCTGCAAAGGGTCTGCAAAAACTCCAGTACATCCAGACTGTGCTGCCCGGGTCCTGACGAGGAGGCGCAAATATGACCACATCTCACCCGTCCTCAAATCACTCCACTGGCTGCCCATCAAACACAGAATACAGTACAAACTCTGCCTCCTCACATATCAATGCACACACGGAACTGCCCCTGCCTACCTCAGTGAACTCCTAACACCACACACCGCCTCTCGAAGTCTCCGTTCAACCACCTCCTCCCACTGCCTGCACCAACCCAGGACCAAACTCTCCACCATGGGAGATAGGGCCTTTCAGGCAGTAGCCCCCCGGCTCTGGAATGCCCTCCCAGAAACCCTCAGGGCCCCACAAAGTGTGGAGGCTTTTAAGAAAGGCCTAAAGACATTCCTATTCAAACAGGCCTTCTAGATATGTACAGTAATTATGTTTTATTTTATTTTATTTTTTCCTGATGTTATATTTGATGTATTGTTTTTATGTTGTGTATCTTGGGGATGTTCCCTGTTTTTGTAGCACTCTGAGGTTTCCCTGAAATGTAAAGTGCATTATAAATAAAATCTATTATTATTATTATTATATTTCTCAGTAAATCCGTATAACCTTGGTAAATTTATGAACAAGGATGGAGATCATTTGTCACTCGCCCGGTGTCCTGAAAAGGTTTTAGGGGCCAGTTCTGCAGGGGGTAAGCAGAGTCCGTTAGCACCGATATTATAATAAATCCATGCACCGCACCAATGTTAGGTCCCGACTCCACCGGCTGCGTAAAACGTACTACCTATCCGTCCAAACGTGTCCGTTTCATCTCAGTTTCCGTTATCTCCATGAGGGTGAATGGAACTGGCGCCACTGCTCGCAACATGCGCCCGTATGACGCACGTAGGGAGCAGTCCGTCCACGGAGGGTGCAACGGACGCAGACGGACGAAATAGAAACAATCCTATTTTTTTACGTCCGTCGGCGCGTGTCTGGTCCGTTTTCCCTTGGTAATACAATGTAAAAATATACTTACTACATTATAATACATGTATTGATATATGCTGTAGTCCTTGGTTATAAGTGTTTGTTAAAGTGATTGTCTGTAGTTTGTCAGAAAGAGAGAGAGAGGTACTTGATTTGAAAAAAACGACGCAAGCCCCCTCCCCCTTCCTTTCCGATTGGTCTACACCTACGTTTCCGTAACACATTTAAATTTTAATGGGAGAACACATTATACATAAACATTATTAATACACATGCACAGCATTTTTGAGAATGATTTGTTAACGTTTTCATGAAAAAAATAATGTTTTAATGCACAAAAAAAGCGATCGCGGCAAACCCGGAAGTAGCTATCAGCTAACGTTGATTGAACATTATAGGAAACATCTGCAGAGGATCTGATTATGGATATAGGTTCAGTTTATAAATCGGTAACTCTTTGTTCAGTTTTCATGTAGTTCCAAAGCCTAATGGAGATTCAGAGGCTCCGCAAAAACAAACAACTGAGCATGCGCGCAGCTACGAGCATCAGAGCGATGATTGACAACCCTTGGCATGACTGGATTGGTTATCGTGGACGGCATCGTGGATTCTGAACTATAGCTAAGAGAAGGGAAGGCGGGACTTACCCGTAATATTAGAATTAATAAAATGACTTATTTTATATCAACATTTAAGGCCAGGAGGTCAATTTAATATAATTCTTAAAATTTGTAATTAATTTAGAGTTACAGACTATCACTTTAATGACAATGATTATTAACAAATGTGTGTGATTTATTTTCATGTATTAAATTGAAATAATTGTTTCCTGATCGTAAATCTACCATTTATTTTTTGCGTAATGTTAATACGCTAAACTTTACATACACCTCGTTCTGTCCCCGTCTACCTCCGAGGCGCGCTCCCACGTACGCACGCACACACGCCTCACACACGCACACACATTACCCACAGAGCTACACTTATGAGAGACAGATGTCACAACACTGGATATGTTGGAGTTCTTTTCTCTTTTCTCTCTCCACTTTTTCCAATTGCTTTCAATAAGTTTTGCCTCATCCATCCGTCCTCGATGCTTCAATATGCCGTACTCTGCGTAGATCATTGCCACAGCTCATGCAAATCACACACTGCTTCTTCTATTTTAAATAAAGCCTTACCAGGTGCTGATAAAAGCACAGCCAGAGCTGCTGAAGCCGGTGTGGCCACTATTCCATATTACGGACGTCTGACGGCATCAGCCTACGCGCGTAAACGGAGACCCAGTGGGTGGAGTCCAGCACTTATGTCGTGCGTAAATGACGTGGTCTGACAATCCCTCCCACGTTGAAGAGGTACTTTTTTTAATGGAAAAGCACCCACACTCGGCCGTGCCCTGCCGTACCGTGACATACCATGACTATGGCATATCACAGATGTACTTTGGTGCGAAGCCATAGAGAGACTACACAAGCAGAGCTACTTAACCCTTGTGCTTTATGCTGCTCAAAATGAGTGATTTTTAAAAAAATCACTCTAAATTGTTTTTTTTAAAGCTGAATTTTGATGACTTCTCATAGCCAGTCCTGTGTAATCTCTGTGTTTCTAAAAGTCTGCCAAAATAGTATCTAAAAGCAATGTTTTTGAGATGGTAAATGCGGTTGTTGCTAATTTGACATGGCTATTCAAAGTCTGAATGTATTACCCCTGGATTTGTGACCTGATTTGAAGGTGATATAAACGTTACTGAGATTAACTACAGTTAAGTGACCTTTTGATGATAACCAATAAAAGGCACCCACAAGCTCACTATGCTGCAATACAGCAGCTCAGTTGGTAGAGGCTTGGCCTTTGAGCCCAAAGGTCGTGGGTTCAAGCCCACCACAAGACCTTCTCATCACAGACTCCACTGATGTCCGCTGTCGTTTTGTTTACTTGGGCAAGACACTTAACCCGCTTAGCCTATAAGGAGCGCGGAAGTGATGTTCCCTGCTTGCCTTGATGTGTATGTGTAACGCTATATGTGTAGCTATGTGCATGCATCAAACTAAAATTTCCCCATTGTGGGACGAATAAAGGACCTTCTTCTTCTTCTTCTACAGCCGGGTCTCCATTAGAGGGCGCATGTTTGGTGGCGTGACACTTGTGATGCTATGACGCGAGAGTGACGCAGAGTGCGTGCGCGCCTCGGGACGGTGTGTTCTGGACAGGGAGCTCAGAATCTAGGATAGGAGATCGGGACCGGCTCAGTGCGCTGACAGCGGCCCGGAAAGGTAAACACGGGATACATGGGTGTCTGGGTGTTCAGAGAGGCCCTCCCAGCGCGGCTGTTCGTACAATGTGCTGTCAGTGTCAGTGTCGGAGGTGGAGTGAGGAGCATGTCAGGCCCGGGCCGGCTCCCCGCTCTCTCAGAGGGTCCCTGGGGCTCAGATCATGTTCTGTGTCTATCACTGTCGTGGTGTGAGTACCTGTCTCCGCGACCATCCTCTTCATGTGGTCAGTGTGACTCCCGCGAAGCTGTCAGTGCCGCCTTAGCATTAGCCTGTAGCATGTTAGCCAGCTAACGACTAGCCGGTTGTTTATATGTAGCACAACCCGTATTCATGACGCAGGTTACGCGGAGTTTGCAGCGTAGGTCACGCTGTGTGTCGCATGAGTGCCAGACTAATCTACGTGATGTTCTTAAACTTTCAGTGACCCTTCTATGTACAAGCCCGACAGGCCCCTACGCAGGCCTTTTAAACTACCCAGGTCCAATCTATTTAATCTCAAGTGTATATAGTAGATTTAGATCATGCGAATTCAATCAATTTTTACCATCAACCTTCCAATTAAATTAAGTTGTCTTAAACAAAAAGTTATCTTGGGGTGTGTGGAATAACACATTTGACGTCTATAGTCCTTAGAAGATATTCGCTAAGCCAACTATAGCATCTACGGCCACCAGCTACTTGAATATGTAGTCAGACAAAAAAATGTATGTGAATTACACATGTACAAAAACCCACTTTCATAAATAAACAGAATTTACTTGTCATTAGAAGTTAATTTAGAAAAAACACAAAGGTCACAGATACTGTGAACATGGTGAAATTAAGCAGGTGTGGATGGAAAAAGGTGCAAAAAGAAGAGGTGTGTGTGTGTGTAATATATATATATATATATATATATATATATAATTTTATATTATATTATATTTTATATTGTATTATATTTTTATATTTATATTATATTATATATATTATATTTATATTATATTATATATATTATATTAATATTATATATATATATATATATTATATTAATATAATATTATATTAATATATATTATATATATAATATATAATATATATATTATATATATATATTATATATTATATATATATATATATATATAATTATATATATATATAATATATATATATATATATATATATATATATAGGGCTGTCAAACAATTAAAATGTTCTATCGAGTTAATTACAGCTTAGAAATTAAGTAATCGTAATTAATCGCATGGGGACCACAGGATTTTCATCATGCTTTGGGACGGTTTGCTAACCTGGCAAAAGCCAGATTGATGATTGTGTAGAACTCTAACGCGTTCTCCGCGATATCAATCTGGGATTTCTCCCGGAGAATCCTTTCGGGGAAAGGAGGGGTAAGCAGCAGAATACTTGAAGCTGATTGGGCGAAGTGACGCTGTGTGCCCGCCTACCAAGGTTGCCGTCCAGAAATGTACAAAGCGCCTCTCGCTGTTCATCTTTCAAAAAAGAAATTGGAGATTCTGCTAAAACTGACTTTGCGTCCGTCCTCCTGCGTAGCCATGTTTGTTTTGCTTCGGCCCGGCACTTCTTGCTTTCGTCAAACCCGGATATCCCGCCCTAAACCCCCAGACTGGCGCGTGATTGGCTCGCACACCCAGTGGTTCGACTCGAAAAGTGTAAGCGGGAGCGGTACAAGATGTATTCTCGAGTGTTTGTGAACTCACAAATACCGCGAGAATTCAGCTTGCAGGCAAGGTTAACGGTTTGCAGCCGAGTGTCAAGCGGCTGGGATGAGAATCGGCACCTCCAAATCTGAGGCAATGGCGGTCGACCAGAAAAGTTTCCTTTGCCCTCTTCAGGTGGGTGGAGAGGTCCTGTGCGCTGACATGCTTGCAATACCACCCGGGGCCGATGGGGGTGGACCCAGAAGTAGAATTAGCCATGCTAACATATAGCATTGGCAGACCTCTCGAAAACGTCTTTACAGGATGGTCCAAAAGCTGGCTCTTGGCCCAAAGCTCCGTTCCACATGTGTGTCAAATGAATGGAGCTCTCGCCATCGGACGCATGCGCAGATGCGTTTTTTCACAATTTTCTTGTGGGCGGGACCACTCGCGGCCATTTTGGATAGCTCCAGTAGAGCACATTTTTTGGCCCATTAGTTAGAACGGCGGAGATAGGCGTGACTCTGTCTGTTAATATATTCAGTCTATAGCTGCGTTTCCATTGAATAATGCGCAAAAACTTTTTCGATACATTGCAAAATTTGAAAAACCTGTAATTCGCAAAAGCGACCGTTTCCATTAAGACATATTCGAATAAGTATACACTATTTTCGCGCGTTTATTCACTAGTCAACATGGCAACAGAAGTAAACAACAGTTTGATTTACGTGCGGTGGTTCTCATCATCAACCGGATTAAGCGTTGGTGGCATCTCCTTCTAGTGTAATGGAGCGGCGATCTCCGTATACTTGGAGAGGATGCAAACATGTTTTGATACATATAGAAAAATCTCTCTTGAATTGTAGAAGTGAATAAATATAGATTGATTGAATGAATGAATGAATTCATATTTATTATGCAGCGGTGGCTCTGAATGAAGCGTCTACAGCGTCTTTTTTGCGGTCCAGATTTTACAAAGAAACTCTGGAGCCAAAACCTCTGCACATTTGAGGACTTATGTGGCCGACCTCTCATGGCACCTGCTCTGCATGCACTGCCAAGAGTGCGCAGCGGGTGGACAGGGCAGTGAGACATTTGGAGTGAGCAATATCATAGTCCATCAGCGCGTTATTGGGGTGTGTGTATGTGTGAGGCTCACACAAATCTAATGAAAACATACATTGCTTTACCATGTGAGGAATACAAATAGCCGTGCGTAATTACGCAGCGCAGAGCCTGCCACAGCAATAGCTGGGTCACACATCCCTGTCGCGTAAAGTGTATATAGACCCTTTCACAATCCAGGATCACAAAGCGCTTCACATTTTAAAAACATACAGATCAAAATAATACACACAGAAGTCAGATTTATAATCATAGAAACAGAAGAGGCTCCTCATCATGATCTGTGATTTATTCGAAGTTTGCGTGTTAGACTTTTTCTGATGCTCAAATTTTAAAACACGATGCTCAATGAAAACACAGCTTATAATTTGCCAGAGGGAATATGTTTATTGTTGTCCAAATTTTTAATTCCATGCGTGTTTTGGCGTGTTGTGCCAAAGGTTGAGATCAGCGTATAGATTTACACCACCTCCAGACCTGGCGTATAATTTTTGCGTATTGTACGCTTACGTCCAGATAGATAAATGCGGAAAAGTGTAATATTTTGCGTACGCCTCATTTACCCTGATTTGTCTGTACGCAGGTTTCATACATGAGGCCCACAGTGTGTCTCACACAGGCCTAGAGTTTACCTCATCAGTGCGAGGCGAGCCTGGCCCGACTGCGCTCTCCTCCTCTGGGACCTACGGGCCCGGGCCTCTGGCTCCTCTACCTCACGAAGTTCACGCTGAACTTTCTTAAAACTAAAATGATAAAGGCTGCTCCGTTGTGAATGTTTTGAGTGCGTTGTCAATCTTTAAGACGAGGAATAGCTGTTGTTCTCGGGAATGAGCTTCGCGCTGTGTGATATGATCATGCAGATTATTGGACAAAATTGTTCAGCCAATAAACAGGACTATATTTGAAGCAACGTAGGAACGTGATGACGCTCAGGGGGTTATATTTTCTAAAAACATTAGAACGCAACATTTAGGCAATAATGTGTGTATAAAAATAACAAGCGTAAAATTTGCCACGGCTTTTCGTACCCTGCCTTGTTCATTTCTCTTTCCAGGTCTTTATAAATCTTTGCGTTCCTTTGCTGCTTTGTGTCTAATATGTTTGTAATTCCCTTTTCCCGAATTAAATTGAAAAAGTAATTAGTTTCCTCGTGTGTCCAAACGTAGCGAGTCATGTTTTGTTTCCTTGAGATGCTGCTACCTGCTACTTCCTGTTTTCTTCTTCTGTTTTTGGGTTTCTCAACACCCGGCTTCCTCCGCTTCCATTGCCGTTTTGCGAAAAACTTAATTTCGATACGTCCAAAAAAACCACCAATTTTAAGCGCATTAACTTTTTATCGAAAAACTGTAATAAATTTGAAATTTGCGCGTTTCCATTAGACATTTTAAGATGCGCAAATTCAAATTTCGAAATTTGATGCTTAATGGAAACGCAGCTTATGATCACCAGGGCACCACTGTCACCTTTACCTTCCAGGCCCTCTCCAGCCCTTGGTACTTTTCGTGTTCTTTTTTCTTCCTGAATTACCATCGCTTGGAATTGCCACGTCCACTACCACGGCTTTCTTCTGCCATTTGTGTACCACCACAATTAGGGCTGGGATAAACGATTATTTTTTTAAACTATTAATCTAGCGATTATATTTTTGATGCATTGATTAGTAAGTAAGTAAGCAAGCAAGTAAGTAATCTTTATTTATATACCGCCTTTCACAGACTAGAGTCACAAAGCGGTTTACAATTGTTATTATTTTTGGGCATTTGTCCTCTCACTCCACACAGAGATGGGAGCTGGGTCGCCAGTACAGGAGGCGCATGCCCTCCTGTTCTTATTCTAACGATACATTTTTTCATTTCCATTCAATTTCGATTATCGATTCTCTCCCCATTAATTGACTAATATCAATGTATACATTGTGTGATGTGTGTTGATTTACATATCTGAATGAAAAAACATGATTTCCTTAACAAAATATATTTATTGCTCTTAAAATCCCAAAATAAGACTTTCCTAGTAAGAGGTAGAATATAACCTTGAAGCCTTGAAAACACATCTAGCTTACTGAAAAAAGTGCATCTTATTCTTCTTTCAGATGAAAATAATACTTAGCATTCAATAAACATAAAAAAGTTCACCCAAAATACTTGTTTAGACTGATAGAATACAGTAACCAATGTAAACTTGAGGGCTGTAAGCTAAAGAGAGAGTGCTTTTCTAGCAAAAAATAATTAACTTAAACATTTAGAATTCAACAGTTATGTTGAACATAGACCTAGCTTACTGAAAAAATCATCCTAATTAACAAATAATAACTTGGACTCGGACACTTTCCTTTCCCCTTAAGAATACTGTCTATTTGTGTGTGCTTGTGAACATGAGTTGTCATTCTCCAGTGACTAAACTAGCGCAGCTAGCATTTAGCGCAATTAGCATGTTTGCCAATGCGGAAGTACCGTCTAATAATAAAATTAACTGATGGCGCACCTCCGTGAACACATACAGCTGTTATATAAAGTCTCTGGAAGGTCTCTGGACACAGAGACGCTGCAGAGCTGCCTTCTTGGAGAAGAACTTTACACAAAAACCCGCTAGCTTAATTCCGCTAGCTTAACTAGTCTGGTCTGAACCATAGACTGTATATACGGACGTAGGCACGCCTATCTCCGCCGTTCAAACAAATGGGTCAGAAAATATGCTCTACTGGAGCTATCCAAAATTGCTGCGAGTGGTCTCGGCCACAAGAAAATGGTGTAAAAACCCATCTGCGCATGCGTCAGCCGGCGAGAGCTCCATTCATTTGAACGAGAGTCTTCAAAAATTCACAGCGAGTAAACTAGAGTGGTCCAAAAAAATTCACCCCCCTCAGCATTGACACACATGTGGAACGGAGCTTTGGGCCAAGAGCCAACTTTTGAACCATCCTGTAAAGATGTTTTCAAGAGGTCTGCCAATGCTATACGTATGTTAGCATTGGCTAATTCTTATTCCGGGTCCACCCCCATTGGCCCGGGGTGGTATTGCAAGCATGTCAGCGCACATCATTTTGGCCACTTTTGAGCCAGGACCCGCCACCCCCACTGGTCTGAACACCCCAAGCCTCTGTAATTTAGAGAATGTGAGTCGACTGCATGTGGAAACTGCGTTCCAGCGTCAGTTGTTTTGAGTATGACAAATCAACGCGCATATTTGACATATTTTTTGTGTCGACGTCATTGATTACATTGATGTGTTGTCCCAGCCCTAAAAACAATGTCAAGTTGGTTCGCCATTACCATTCGGTCGTTTTTAGTGATTGTGGTGGTACGTTTCTCCCTCACTGCTGCATTCACACTTTCTATGCCCTGTGCCCATTCTTGCCATGATCTTAGTTTTCAGGTGAGTTGCTGCCTCGTTCAGCGTTATTGGTTGTTTCCTTTGGGGCTATGTACCCAATATTCCTCCAGCCTCATTCCCCCGAGACTGTAAACAAGGCTGCTATTGTGTGTTAACCCACACGGCAAATGTATTTATTTATGTTAAAAAAAAAACATCAATATATATCGTTATCGACCGATATGAATTAGTTCTATTCTGATATAGTTTTCAGCCATATAGCCCAGCCCTACTCTGTCGCCATCTCACACACGCATGTGTTCGTGGCGCTTGAGTGTTATTATAGTGTGTCTCCAATGTGCATGCTGTTGCTAAATGTCAGTTGAAAAGTTTTGAGTTTATAAATGTCATGTCTTTTTCATCAGAATGCATAATTGCAGAATGCATTATTGCATTCTAGAATCTGCAATCAGAAAAATTAAATTAGAAAAAAATCTGAAAAGCAGCTCTTATTTGTGTAAACTCTCTGTGTGTCCAGAGTGCTCCTGTACTGTTCTCCTGATGGGGTGATCAGCGCCTCCCCTCCTCCTCACACAGTTCAGCTCCAGTCTGAGGCCTCAGGAGGGATGGGGGACACCTCACAGGGAGGTGTACCGCCCCTGTCCCTGTCCACCCCCAGTGCTCTGCTGTGGAATCCCCCACCCCCAGAGATCTGCCACCCAACCAGACCCAAGCGCCAAACCAACCAGCTCCAGGTGACTAAATACACACACATTATGCCGAGTTCTAACCAGTGTTGAGGAGTAACGGAATATATGTAACACTTTTACGTATTCAGAATGCTCTTTTTAAGGTACTGTATTCCGTTACAATCACTACTTTAATAACAATAATAATAATAATAATACATCGGTTTTATATAGCGTTTTTCAAGAACTCAAAGACGCTTCACAAATTCATGACACACACACACGTTTAGACACCACACAAAAACAAAACAAAACAAAACAAATCTTAAGAGTGGGAGGGAAGGGTAGAAAGTTTAAACTAAGAGTCAAATGCTTGGAGGAAAAGGTGAGTTTTTAGCTGTTTTTTGAAGGAGTTTAGAGAGTTCCAGAGAGTAGGAGCAGAGATGGCGAAAGCTCGGTCCCCCAAGGTTCGGTGCTTGGATTTGACAGTGGGAGTGAGGAGATGTGAGTCTGCAGATCGGAGTCAGCGGGATGGACTGTAGGGCTGTAGAAGTTCAGTGAGGTAAGGAGGAGCGAGGTTATGAAGGGCTTTGTAGGTGATGAGGAGGATTTTGAAATGGATGCGCTGTTTGATGGGGAGCCAGTGGAGTTTATGGAGGACACGGGTGATGTGTTCTCTGGAGCGTGTCTGAGTGAGTGACTTTAAAAGCTAGTATTTGGAATAGCTACTTTCTGAAAATTACAGGAATACATGCTTTCTCATATTACGTTTTCAAAAGAAAACTTTGCGTGGAGGAGGAATCACAGAGGTGACTGGTTTTGAGAGCATGTTGGAGTCAGAGACATTATGCAACTGCTTTGAGCGTGTTCACTGATGTAAAAGTACCGTTTAATAATAAAATAAACTTATGGCGCACCTCTGTGAAGTCATATATAAAGTTATATAAAGTCTCTGGACAGAGAGACGCCTCAGAGCTGCATTATCGGAGAAGAGCTTTAAACAAAAAACCGCTGGCTTATCTCCGTTAACATCAAAGTCCGCCAGCTACGTCCGCCACTTCCGGCGGGCACCACTGCTGGCCAGGACTTCTGGTGTGAAGACCCCTGCCTCTGAAATTTAGAGATTGTAAGTCTGGTGCGCGAGGCGTCAGCGTTCCAGCATCGGCGGTGTGAAAGCACTTTAAGCCGGCCAGGGCTTTATTAGTCCTCTGGGAACACAAGATATGGGGCGGCTGTATAGTGCCAAACTGTTGTTGTGTTCTTAGGCAAGACACTTCATTCACATTGCCCAGGGCAGCTGTGGCTACAGTAGTCGTTTATCACCATTGTGTATCGAGTGAATGGATAATGACGTGGAGTGCCTTTGAATGTCAGAAAAACGCTATATGACAAAAAGGTTGCATCATTCATTCATTATCTTGAAACAGGAAATGTGCTAGTAGTTGCGAGTGAACTATGACATTAGTGCGATTATTCGTGATTAATTCGTGATTACAGCTCTAAAATAAACATTTGAAAGAATATCAAACATTTTAGAAGATAAATATTGGCAACCCGTCTCAAAAAGCCTGATCAGTTCACCTCTAACAATGTCCACACAGTTTAACTAAGCTTAATATCAACTTAACTAAGCTCTAAATCAAACTAAGGCCACATAGGTTTTTACAAACGAACTAGGCCAAGTGGCCCAGATCGTCGCCAGATGGTTGTGAAGACGGCCCGCGGTCACAAGGGTATATGTTCTCAACCTTGCCAGACCAAATGCCCTGTAGTACAACGCTCAGTCCAGCTGGTGGCGCTAATACAAACTTCAGCGACTACCTCGTTGTCAGTAGTTAAGTTTCAGTTTCTGTTTCTGTTTACATTCTGCTACTGTGCGCTAATGGTGCTTTCAGACCGGCAACGCTGAAACGCTGAAGCCTCGCTCACCAGACGCGCATTCTCTAGTTTTCAGACGCAGGGGACTTCACACCAGAAGTCCTGGCACGCGCCGGAAGTGGCGGAAGTAGCCAGCGGGCTTTGATGCTAACAGAGTTTAGCTAGCGGCTTCTTGTGTAAAGATCTTCTTCAATAATGCAGCTTTGCAGCGTGTCTGTGTTCAGAGACCTTCCATGGACGTTATATAAGTAAGTAAGTAATCTTTATTTAAATACCGCTTTTCACAGACCAGAGTCACAAAGCGGTTTACAATTGTTATTTTTTGGGCAATTGTCTTCTCACTCCACACAGAGATGGGAGCGGGGTAAGTAGGATGTGTTCACGGAGGTGCGCAATAAGTTTATTTTATTATTGAAAGGCATTTCCGCATCTGCGAACACACTCGAAGCGGTTGCACATGTTAACAAGCACTATGTCCCCCATTGTCAACCCTGGTTTAGTCCTGATGTAGATCCTGTTTTGGCTGTTTACAGTATGTTCAGTCTGCTCGCTCAGACCGCTAATGTCCCTGTGACCACTTTGCTGCTTTCTGATTGGTCGCTGCACAAACGTCCCGAGGAAAGGTTGAGCAAAATTCATCTCCTGCGTGCGTTTTCCGCTCCTGCCCCTCCCCTTCGACTTTCCCGGGCAGTCCGTGCGTCTCTACTGAGCAGTCCGTGCGTGCATTCCGAGACGCCGGTGTGTTTTGACGCTCGAACGCGAGTCACCATTGACTTTGCATTGAAAGCCGACGCAACGCATGATCCGGTCTGAACGCGGCATAACAGCCTGATCATTTATTGCGTTGTTTGCGTCAGAGTAATGTGTACAAGTGTGAGATGTGTCTTTCCCCAAAGTTCAGCAGCTCAGTTAATAATGTGTGTGTGTGTGTTTGTGCGCCGCAGACACACGAGCGTAAGCGCTGAAAAATTTATGGGTGAGAATGAAAGGATGAAAAAAATGACGTACGAGCAGAGCGACCGGAGCCAGGCAGGATACAACTAAATGTTCATGTGTTCATCATGTGATGTGATTAAATAAAGTCTGATTCTTGAATGTCTGAAGTGTTATTGTAATAGCACCACACTGACAGTGAGGGCCCACCTCTCTCAACTGCCCACTAGCAGCAACCGTGCCCAAGCCCAGTTGGCGCTGTCACATGGCACCTAAAGGCCAAATCTAATCGCGCTTTAGGGCTTTAACCGGGCTTTAGGCTGTGCATGTAACCGCAGCCTGATTTTGGTCTAGGGGCACATTTTACCTAATTGGATCTCAAGGGGGTTGGACTTAAAAATTCTCCAACTCTTTGTGCGCATAAACACATGAAAATGAGTTTTAACACATTATGAACAACCTGAGACTTTAAGACAGGTAAGTGCAAATGCAACACAATCTGTTGACTAACTCTAAATGTAACTGCAAAATTTTCACAGGCAAATAATTTAAAGCTGTGTTCTCACCGGGTCATGTGTTGTGGCAAGTTTCAATGCAAAGTCAATGGTGACTTCCGCCCATGCAAGGAATTGCATGTACGTTGCGGCATGCACTCTTGTCCCACATGGCAGACGCCCTGTTACGGCGAGATGAGATTCACTGAACATCCTTGCTCCTTGCACATGCCGCAACCTATCAGAGAGCAGCAGAGTGGTCACGGGACATAAACCGGTCAAAAGTATGAAGATGAAGACACTCAAAAACAACTAAAACATGAGCTACATCAGAATAGATCAATTAACTCCTTTCCTACCAAATTGTCCCAGCTACCAAGTACTGATTGTGAAGTCTGTTTGCGTGTGTAATGTAAATTAATTGTCTTGTTTGCCTTTCAGTATCTGCTCAAAGTAGTGCTGAAGACATTATGGAAACACAACTTTTCATGGCCCTTTCAAGCCCCTGTGGATGCAGTTCAACTCAACCTGCCTGTAAGTACAATACAATACAATACAATTTATTCTTGTATAGACCTAAGTCACAACAGAAGTCATCTCAGAGGACTTAACAAAACCATTGAAATCACCAACACAGATCAGAGAATCAACGGTTAAAACACAAAACAGAACGCATGTTGAAAAAAATGTCCATACATGTTGTAGAATGTTAAAGTGTCCTGGATCATCACCACATCCTTTTTGTTGGACACTATCTGTCCAACAGACCCACCTGCATAGGGTTGGGCGATATGGGCCTCAGCATGTATCACGATTTTTGTTGGTATGTATCACGATATGACGATATGATAATTTTAACAAAGCCTCATATAAAAGCTATAAAAACTTAGCACTGATAATTTTAAACACACTTGCCTCAAAGTGCATTTACTGATTTATTGGCAGCAAAATGTGTAATACAGCTATTGTATATAAAACGTATTAACAAAACTGAATTGTAGAGAATTCTGTTTTGTACATACTGAAAATTGCAGGCAACATGTAATAAAGGTGAACATTTGTAATTTGTAAAATATATAAAAGTTTGTCCTTTGTAATATAAAAAGTGTAGCATTATCAAATAATTATTTGATCACTTTGGCTTATGTTTCCTAATCCCAATATAGTCAAAATGATCAAATACTGTATATATTTTTTGTATCCTTTTGCGTTTCTATAATTATGTAATTATAACTTATTTGTAATTATATTGCAATGTATACAAACGCATGCATTGAAGTAAAATGAATGACAGTAAACAGTAAATAAAGCTTACCAATGGCACTATGAGAGAGAGAGAGAGAGAGAGCGAGTGTCCGAAGCAAGCCACTCGAGTCCAGTTGTTTAGGGCAGCTGCTTTCACAACATTAGATCCACTGTCGATAGTTACACACAATTGCTTCTTTTTATCTAGTTCCCAAACTACTCCCATATGTTTGAGGTAGCTCCGCGTTTTGGCACAATGTCTTCTACAATCTGCATGTCTTCACCATGGTCTTCACCGCCGCCCTCAGCCATGTTTGCTCTCTGCTCTGTTGTTGTTGTCCCTGCACGCCGCTCTGCTACACGTCCGCTCTGCATCATCAAAGTGCGCCGCACACAAACGTGTCTTCCGCTCGCTGTTTTCAGTGTTAAATGATCGTTTTCACCGGTATAAGGCATTTTCTTATCATTTAATTTACTTATACCGGTATACCGGTACAAAAAAAATATCGCCCAACCCTACTCCTGCATTGGTAATTAAAAACTCATAAGAAAAACCCAGTGGGAAAAAAGTGAGAAACCTCAACCTCACCCACAGTTTGAGAAAGGGATCTGCTCCCACGGACGGACAGGCTATAGATCCAGGACCTAAGCTATAGAACGTGGACCAGCGGCCGTTGAACGTCCAAAGCAGGACTAAAGCACTCCCAGGCGGGTCGGGCAGGGCAGTCCGCAGGTGTAGATGGAGGAGGCCAGGTTCAGAGGTCCCGTCATTGTACCAATCAAACAGACAATGGGACAATGGGTGAATAGCAATGAACAAACCACAGTCAAAATCCTAATAATGCTAAACGGAAGGAAGTAGGAAGGAGGAGAGGATAGTGCAGGGATTAAAGAGTTCCGTCTAGGTGACGGATTTCCGTCAAATGAAATTGGTCTGGAAAAAAAAAAATATATATATATATATAATGATAATAATACACACAATGAAATGATTGATTATAAAAATAATATATAGTAATACATATACGTGTGAATCTGTTATATATATATATATCGATGTATAATAATAATTTAAATATAATTGTATTTATATGTATATAGAAATAATAAGTCATATAATCACGAGTGGGCCTTGAACGTGCCGTGGCCACATGAGCGCTCCGCAAATGAATCAAGGCAATGGGACGTAGCTGAGCTCACGCGCAAATGAAGACGCGATGAAGTTAGCATTGGTAACACGGAGGTGAAAGTTTCTGGAAACTGCACGGAGCTTTTGAAAAGGAGAAGAGGAGGAAAATTGAATCTCGAACGGAGCAATAACAGCAGCAGATCCGGACTGGTAAGCTGGGCGCGTAATAGAGGAAAGGTAATTGACGTTTACCAAACGCAATGCTATTTACTTAACGGAATGTACAAAACAGACTTTGCTGCAACTGGGAATGGGGACAAACATGTCTTGGTGAGCTTTTGATATTGTCTTGTTTGCGATCTTCTTGCAAAACTCAGCGTGATGTAAAAGAGCCAATCAACAGGTCATGGTGCGAAAAGATGAAAGTGGCCGGTGCTTGTGCGTACTTTGCCATAAAAAATTGCATATATGGGAGTAATGAGAAAAAAGTTTTGATTCGCCACCAGCTCAAAACTGCGCACAAGGCAGCTGTTTGTGCACTTTCCCACACTTCATCTTTACCTGGTGCATCAGCAACAACTGACAGTAGGCTTGCTCTGGCGGACCGTGTCTGTGGCTTTATCGCAGAAAATAACGTTCAGAATATCACTACCGCTGGTAGATTTATTTAAATAATTTGCAGTTGATCAAAGTGCACTGTGCACTCAAACTTGATAGGGAAACCTTTTTCTTAAATATTGACGTGTCCACAAACAAATGTGGACAGAATTTTATCGTCCTTTTGCGATATTTTGACAAGGACAGAGCCAAAGTGTTGACGCTCCATATCGCCTCAAGTAAAGATGGAGCTCTTCGCGAAAATTCACTGTGGTAGACCCGGCCGCTGCTACAAGCCTGCTCATCCTCTACACATTACACCAGCAAAACGCCCACATCTTATCCACCAATAACCACCAGGACAGCAAGTTAAAAGCCGGAGACGCCCACTTCCCGGCCTTCTGAAGGTTGCAAAGCCTCCGCCGCCCCACCTCCTCCTTCTCTCATCGAAGCGTGCTTGCCTACTGCCTCTGCCGTCACCAGTGCCTAGGCCCCGGGGGGGATTATGTGCGCGAGCAAGCGCCGTGCTCAACAGCATCTCTCCCGGGCCTAGGGCGCCAAACATACTCAATCAACAAACTTCTAACTGCATTTTCCCTCTTGGGTCTCTCCAAAGTGAACTACTCTCACTAATATTCTGTCAAAAAGTTGACTCGTTGCTTGATCCACTTATATTTCATATCAATATCTTTGAAGAATTCATTTGAGCTGTATTCAATATACAATCTATTATACAATAATATATTGTAATTAAAAATATAACTTGGTCCTGCATATTACTGTGATTTACATGTGATAAATTTCCATGCAAAAATTTTCAGTCAAATCTTTTTTTTTGCTTTAACCCCTGGGATAGTGCTCAAGTTACCATACTTCTCCCAGCAAACTGACTCCCTATGCAGCTTGACTGACTGTCTGAGGAGTTTAGCCTTCCCTGAGTCTTACCTTCCTAACCATATGCTAAATTAAAGAGGACTGTTTTAGCGTAGCCTAGAACGTAGGGTTGAAGATGCAGCGGACCGGGTTCCATATACCTGGACCGGACAAACAACCTAACCAAATGCTAAGTTGAAAAAGAGTGTTTTAAGCCTGGCCTTAAATGTAGAGACAGTGTCTGCTTCCTTAACTGATTCCACAGTAAAGGAGCTTGGTAGCTAAATGCTCTGCCACCGACAGTGCTTTTTGAAACCTAAAGCCTAGCGTACATCGACAGAGAAACTGGGGACAACTAGTTGCAAGGCGGCTTTTGGCAACTGAGAGGAGATGGTGGGAGATGATCAGTTGCCGAAATCGGTCGATGTGCGCGCTCTTACAACTGGAGATGATCAGTCGGTCTCCAGTTCCAGTCAGTTGCCCGTGTTCTACTTTTCGGCAACTAGTTGTCCTCAGTTGCTCCGATGTGCGCGCTCCATGCGCCGCTCCGACAACGTGTGTGTATTGCGTGTATAGCGCGCCCGCAACAGTTTATGTCAGAAAACACACTGTAGTTGAGGCCAGTTGCTGTCGATGTACGCGCTGTTATTCAAGAGACTGGCCTGCGACTCAGAGTTGCCCGTTTTCGCCAGATTGTCGATGTGTGCGGGGCAGCAACTCAGAGGCGACGGATATAATCAGTTGCCAGTCCGATGTACGCTAGGCTTTAGGGACCACCAGACTTCTGCCGTTTTGCGAGCGCAGTGCTTGGCTTGGTTGATAAGACATTACCATGATTGAAGATAGTAGCTGCATTTATGTGAATGTATAAAATGGCTGACCAAGTTTAGTTTTTACAGTGTACAAGATAATTTGAATATTGAGAAAAGAAATGTATTTTTCTGATACAACTTAAAACGTGATATGGAGACACATGCCGCTTTTTCACAGTAACAGTACGGTACAATACAACTCGACACGGTACGGCACGGCCGAGTTCGGATGGTTTTCCATAAAAAATAGTACCTCCTAATATCTCCTCAGCGTTGTCAGACCACGTAATTTACGTGTGATGCGTAACTAGTAACATTGGTGCGCAGTGTTTTGCCAGTTCACAGCTTTTCTGAACTAGTTCAAGGGCAGTTCATACATGCTCAAAGTGAACCGTTCACGTTCAAAGTTCACAATTTTAATTCTGAACTAGTTCAAAGTTCAGTTAATTTTACTTTTTTCATGAGATATTCAAATAAATACTTTTTTCACACTACGAGCTAGAAATCACTATACGTGATATAATATATATGTCGCTGACTCACCCTTTGCTTTCATCACACTCGGGCACATGTGAGTCCAACAACCATGAACAGCATTAGCTTACGGCGCCCATTGCGCCGCACCGCAACACGGAGTCGGGGTGCGTTCACAGACGGTGGAAACCATGGGAATTTTTAGTTTTCGGCGGAGAATACAGGAGGGAGGAACTATCTCTTGTTGCGTTTCAAAAGAGAAAACAGATTTCACTCAGTTTTCAATGGAAAACAAATTGTCTGCCGTTCATGACACATGTGAACTAATTCACGTTCAAGTTCTTTATTAAAAAATCTGTTGCGTTCAGTTCAACGTTCATGAAAAAATGAGCGTGTTCGATGAA